CCAGTTCCAAAGAGAGTTCTGTGCATAGAAATTTTTGATTTTGAACACATTTTTCTTTAAAAACAAGTAGTCCTATAGAACTTTAGAGACTAACAAATATGTATAATATTTTTTTTAGTCTCTAAAGTGCCACAGGACTACTCACTGTTTTTAAAGTTATAGACTAACATGACTACCCCTCTGAGACATTTTTCTTTCTCCCCTTTGAAAATGAGGAGCTTGCCGGCAAGTATATTTCTGGATTCTTGTAATGCAACAGATGAAGTGACATGGTAGAAAGCTGGCTCACTGGTGGAGAAAGTCTCTTTTTGAGTTTGATTGCAGCATCCAGTTTGTAAAGTCGTATGCCATGGCCACATGGGAAGCTCAGAGGGTTTCTTCACTTCCGCCAGAATGTCTGCAAAAACTTGCACAATAAAGTGTTCAGAGTGCTTGACAATCTGTGGTGAATCCTTGCAATTCTATGTATTTGCTGATTTTATTTTTCTCATTCTGAAGAGTTGTCATCTTACTCTGCAGATAAAATTGCTGAGATTCAGACTGAGCTATCTTCTGCTGCTGAAATAAAACCAGGTAGGACAAACACTATGTCTGTCTCTGTGTTAGTCAGTATCAGTTGCTGAGGTCATAGAGATGTTGCTGTAGCTTAATTCTACAACTTGCATATTGGAGCCTGGTGTTCCTAGATGGTAAAGTCTTGTTCCTAGATGGTGAAGTCTAATAGGGAAGTACAGGGTCCACTTCTAATCATTATTGCTAGTGTTTCCCTATGGGAGTGGGGCAGCAGTCCCACATCCCTTAAAGAAGCTATTATGAGGCACATGGTCAAGAAACTGACTGTAAATGTTGACAAATGTGGCTGATTTCCCACTGAGATAGATATGGCAAAGTAATGGTACAGGTTGAACCTCTCTAGTCTGGGTCCCTCAGGAATTTGCCAAAACATGGGAGGTCAATATTGTCTAGCAGTATTAACAACACTTTCATTGCTTACTGAGCGCTTAGAAGACATTTAGGAGTAAAATAGAACTAAACAACAGCACAGAACACTAAGAGCCAGGACTGGCGACTGTAAACAAACATTAAGGGACTATGGGAAACTTGGCCATACCCAGCTAACTAAAATCATGCCAGATCACAGATGTGGTCAGACCAGAGAGTGCCGGACTAGAGAGGTAGCAGTTTCTTGATGCTTCAGATTTCCAGTCAGTCTGGCTATACACTTGGATGGGATTGGAACTGCACTTTTTGAGTTAGTTGCTGACCTTCTGCTAACACTGTATGAAGATAAAAGTGGCCGTGCTGACTCTTTCATTGACCACAAGACATTGTTGAGTTGTTCGTGGACAGCAGTATTTGCTCAAGAGGGTTCCATTCCTATCTTCCTGAGAATATTCTTCCACTGCCTCAAGGGATCTCCCTAGTGCAGGGGTCAGCAACCTCTGGCTCAGTATGGAACATTTTTTATGGAGCGGTTTTGTGATTCCCAAAATATATGCAACTTTTTCAATTAAAATGAAAAAATAATTTTAAAAATGCACAATTATTCGTGTCAGGATGGTCTTTTTTACTTCAACCAGAGGTGAATGTGAAGCAGTGCACCCTGGTAAGAACTGGCTGTACTCAGGCTAGAGCTGGCTGGGGGACTGCTCGTTTCAAGGGCTAGTTAAGGGTGTGCTGTAGGGGACGTGCACACTCCATGCTGGGATAGTGAGAGGGGTTGGTGGTGGCAGTTGCCTTCATCTGGTTGGAGGGGCCTGGTTCCAGCCTCCATCTGATGGCTGTGGTCTGTCCCCTGCTGCAATGCTCCTGGGGCAGACCCTGTAGCCCAGCCATGGTGGCCCTGCAACTGCTGCAACAGCCCAACTGTGGCAGCTGGCTTGGGCTCCAGACATGACAGCCTGACCAACAAGGCCTAGCCCCCATCTGGCTGCAGCATCCTGTCCCAGCTCTGATCCTGGGACAGGCCCGCAGTCCCAGCCCCCATCTGGCTGCAGGGGGTGGTAGGGGGTGCAGTAGTGCAGTAGCTCACCCTCGGCTAGGTATGGTAGTTCAGCCCTAGGGCCCCCCATATACTCTACTTCCCACCCCCAGGACCCTGCCCTGCCTCCTGCACTTCCAACACACCCCAACCCCTTTGCCCTGAGCCCCTCATACACCCCAACACTGACTCCTGCACCCCCATATCCACAAACTGCACTCCCAGCAGCAGCAGCGTTTCATTTATACTGTTATTAATCATTATGTCAATTATCAATAATATTAAGTTGTATTTTTCAGTCATGCAAATGGGCATTCTTATATGGCTCTTTGTTGACCACTTGCTCTGAATTTTGATGTAGTTTGGTTCTTTGGTTTGAAAAGTTTGCTGACCCCTGCTCTAGTGCCTAGGGGATGATATTGTCAACTTAATTGTTCTGTATGACTAGAAGGCCACATAGGGTTAGTGAGGAGACAAGGGGGCAGAGTATTTTGTAATACTGATGACTGCCAGCTGAACCTCTTTTGCATGTCTGATCCATCAAGACTAACCAATGCCTAACTTCCCTTATGTTGCTTACAAGACCAGCTCTGGTTTGTTTACTCACCCGATGGAGACTACATATACATGAGAGTAGCATTTCCCTCCAAGTTCATGGCTTCTCTATCTGGAGATATGAACCTGGCATAAGAAAGCATGGAGTTCCCTTTTGTTATGCCCTTGATGCTGAGTATCCAGGATCTCCTCAAGTGAAATCTGGAGATCATTTGCTACTCTTTGTGGGAGCTCCTGATCTATCCTGGGGGTCATCAGGCAGAGATGCGGAACACTTACCTCATTTAGCGAGGATGATGAAACAATTGTAGTACCTGGGTGGATCCAATCTGATTTTCTCTCCCTCATGCTCCAATGGAGCTGGCTGATGTCCTATAGGAGAGGGACAATAAGACTCATGAAAAAATGACAGGTGTTTAGCAAAGGGATTGCTACAGGGTCCCTTTGGGTCCATGGATAGTTGTATCTGGATGAAGGGCAGATCCTAGATCTTCTTAACTCACCCCTTACTCAGTGCTGATGGCTCGCCTGAAGCTTCTGTCTCATCAGAACACAAACCATTTCTCATTTGACCTGCGGAGGAGTGGTCAGGGCTGGTGGGTGAAAGCTCCTGCAACAGCACAGGAGAGGGGTATATCCCTGTTTCCTCAAGGCTGATTCCTCCTCTGGTGTCAGAATGTCTGCCATGAGGGTTGCCCTTGAAAGAAGGGCATGAGGGTTGCCATGAGGGTTGCCCCTTCGTGCCATGCCCATGCCCTTGCCCCCTCCTGCTACCATCATGACCCCATCTGCTGCACCCCGTCCTGCCCACCTCCCCGTGCTGCCTGCCCCGATGCTCCTAGATGGTGAAGTCTAATAGGGAAGTACAGGGTCCACTTCTAATCATTATTGCTAGTGTTTCCCTATGGGAGTGGGGCAGCAGTCCCACATCCCTTAAAGAAGCTATTATGAGGCACATGGTCAAGAAACTGACTGTAAATGTTGACAAATGTGGCTGATTTCCCACTGAGATAGATATGGCAAAGTAATGGTACAGGTTGAACCTCTCTAGTCTGGGTCCCTCAGGAATTTGCCAAAACATGGGAGGTCAATATTGTCTAGCAGTATTAACAACACTTTCATTGCTTACTGAGCGCTTAGAAGACATTTAGGAGTAAAATAGAACTAAACAACAGCACAGAACACTAAGAGCCAGGACTGGCGACTGTAAACAAACATTAAGGGACTATGGGAAACTTGGCCATACCCAGCTAACTAAAATCATGCCAGATCACAGATGTGGTCAGACCAGAGAGTGCCGGACTAGAGAGGTAGCAGTTTCTTGATGCTTCAGATTTCCAGTCAGTCTGGCTATACACTTGGATGGGATTGGAACTGCACTTTTTGAGTTAGTTGCTGACCTTCTGCTAACACTGTATGAAGATAAAAGTGGCCGTGCTGACTCTTTCATTGACCACAAGACATTGTTGAGTTGTTCGTGGACAGCAGTATTTGCTCAAGAGGGTTCCATTCCTATCTTCCTGAGAATATTCTTCCACTGCCTCAAGGGATCTCCCTAGTGCAGGGGTCAGCAACCTCTGGCTCAGTATGGAACATTTTTTATGGAGCGGTTTTGTGATTCCCAAAATATATGCAACTTTTTCAATTAAAATGAAAAAATAATTTTAAAAATGCACAATTATTCGTGTCAGGATGGTCTTTTTTACTTCAACCAGAGGTGAATGTGAAGCAGTGCACCCTGGTAAGAACTGGCTGTACTCAGGCTAGAGCTGGCTGGGGGACTGCTCGTTTCAAGGGCTAGTTAAGGGTGTGCTGTAGGGGACGTGCACACTCCATGCTGGGATAGTGAGAGGGGTTGGTGGTGGCAGTTGCCTTCATCTGGTTGGAGGGGCCTGGTTCCAGCCTCCATCTGATGGCTGTGGTCTGTCCCCTGCTGCAATGCTCCTGGGGCAGACCCTGTAGCCCAGCCATGGTGGCCCTGCAACTGCTGCAACAGCCCAACTGTGGCAGCTGGCTTGGGCTCCAGACATGACAGCCTGACCAACAAGGCCTAGCCCCCATCTGGCTGCAGCATCCTGTCCCAGCTCTGATCCTGGGACAGGCCCGCAGTCCCAGCCCCCATCTGGCTGCAGGGGGTGGTAGGGGGTGCAGTAGTGCAGTAGCTCACCCTCGGCTAGGTATGGTAGTTCAGCCCTAGGGCCCCCCATATACTCTACTTCCCACCCCCAGGACCCTGCCCTGCCTCCTGCACTTCCAACACACCCCAACCCCTTTGCCCTGAGCCCCTCATACACCCCAACACTGACTCCTGCACCCCCATATCCACAAACTGCACTCCCAGCAGCAGCAGCGTTTCATTTATACTGTTATTAATCATTATGTCAATTATCAATAATATTAAGTTGTATTTTTCAGTCATGCAAATGGGCATTCTTATATGGCTCTTTGTTGACCACTTGCTCTGAATTTTGATGTAGTTTGGTTCTTTGGTTTGAAAAGTTTGCTGACCCCTGCTCTAGTGCCTAGGGGATGATATTGTCAACTTAATTGTTCTGTATGACTAGAAGGCCACATAGGGTTAGTGAGGAGACAAGGGGGCAGAGTATTTTGTAATACTGATGACTGCCAGCTGAACCTCTTTTGCATGTCTGATCCATCAAGACTAACCAATGCCTAACTTCCCTTATGTTGCTTACAAGACCAGCTCTGGTTTGTTTACTCACCCGATGGAGACTACATATACATGAGAGTAGCATTTCCCTCCAAGTTCATGGCTTCTCTATCTGGAGATATGAACCTGGCATAAGAAAGCATGGAGTTCCCTTTTGTTATGCCCTTGATGCTGAGTATCCAGGATCTCCTCAAGTGAAATCTGGAGATCATTTGCTACTCTTTGTGGGAGCTCCTGATCTATCCTGGGGGTCATCAGGCAGAGATGCGGAACACTTACCTCATTTAGCGAGGATGATGAAACAATTGTAGTACCTGGGTGGATCCAATCTGATTTTCTCTCCCTCATGCTCCAATGGAGCTGGCTGATGTCCTATAGGAGAGGGACAATAAGACTCATGAAAAAATGACAGGTGTTTAGCAAAGGGATTGCTACAGGGTCCCTTTGGGTCCATGGATAGTTGTATCTGGATGAAGGGCAGATCCTAGATCTTCTTAACTCACCCCTTACTCAGTGCTGATGGCTCGCCTGAAGCTTCTGTCTCATCAGAACACAAACCATTTCTCATTTGACCTGCGGAGGAGTGGTCAGGGCTGGTGGGTGAAAGCTCCTGCAACAGCACAGGAGAGGGGTATATCCCTGTTTCCTCAAGGCTGATTCCTCCTCTGGTGTCAGAATGTCTGCCATGAGGGTTGCCCTTGAAAGAAGGGCATGAGGGTTGCCATGAGGGTTGCCCCTTCGTGCCATGCCCATGCCCTTGCCCCCTCCTGCTACCATCATGACCCCATCTGCTGCACCCCGTCCTGCCCACCTCCCCGTGCTGCCTGCCCCGATGCTGCCTGAAGGGCACCGAGGCCTCCGCCCCTGCAGAGGCACTGGCAGGAGCCACCCCTCCCACCAGTAGCTCCCCCTCCCAGTTCAGATCCCCTCCCACCGCCCACCCTTCTTCCCTATTGTAAATAAAAATAAAAGTTTTATGTTGTTTGAAAAAAAATGTTTTGTTTATTGGGAGGTGAGGGGTGGGGGAAGGGAAGAGTTGGGGATGGGAGAGAGATGTAAATGGGAGACAGAAGCAACCCTACTGTGGGGCCTGGGACAACATCTCCTTCAGGGCCTCCCGGATGTGCACCCCATCATGGTGCGCCTGGCGAATGGTGGCTGTGCGGGGCTGTTTGAATGCCTGGCCCTCGGCTGCCATCCACGCCAAGAAGAAGTCCTCCCCCTTCCACTCCACAATGTTGTGGAGCACACAACACACGGCCACAACTTCTGGAATGTTCCACCAGTGTGGACGCTCTCTTGCACAAAGATGCATGGCTCTCACGATGCGCTGTGACCAATGTGGACGCTCTCTTGCGCAAGTACTTTTGTGTAAGAACTCTTGTGCAAAACATTACTTGCGCAAGAAAGCGCCAGTGTAGACGTAGCTTAGGGTATGTATACACCACAATAAAACACCCATGGCTGTGTCAGTTGACTCAGGCTCACAGGGCTTACACTGCAGATTTGTAAAATGGCATGTCCATGTTTGGGCTTGGATTGGAAACTGGGCTCTGGGACCCTTCCCTATTGCGGAATGAAGTGTCCTGGGCTCCAGCTTGATCCTCAATGTCTAGATTTCAATGTCATAGCTTTGCAGCCTGAGCTAGAGTAAGCTGACATGGGCCAGCCATAGGTGTTTTATTGCAGTGTAGACATATTCTTTGATGGTGTTCGTGGGTGCTGACAAGTATGCTTGTGAACCAGAGCCCTTGTCTGTACCAGCAGATCCTTCCTCTTTTATGCTCTAACCTCACGTTTGGTGGTTTTATACAAGTCTAGGTCCTTAGGACCCTTGCATAAGGACATGTCTGACTGGGACAGGATCAAGAACAAATGCCTTTTTTTTTTTTTTTTTGGAGACAGATCTGGCACGGTCACTCTCCTTATGTTTGGATTTGGGTTTAGCAACTCTAGTTTCCACTCCTGAGCTATTACTCAAAAGGGCTCTGCTCATCAGCTGAAACTGATATACACAAGTGTCCCACTGACCTGAATCTGACTGAGGTTTTATGGCTTTCTGCAGAAGATACTTCCTCAGATCAAGCACTTCCCCCATGCAGTTTCATGGGGAGAAGGCATGGGAGAAGCTTCACTTAGCAGAGACATAAGCTTCTCTCAGACACTGCTGGCGTTCATCACTCAAGGAGAAGGAGCAGAGGAAGGAGATATAATTCTTAAACACTAGGGCTACGTCTACACTGGCCCCTTTTCCGGAAGGGGCATGTAAATTTCACCAGTCGTCGTAGGGAAATCCGTGGGGGATTTAAATATCCCCCGCGGCATTTAAATAAAAATGTCCGCCGCTTTTTTCCGGCTTTTAAAAAAGTGCCAGTCTTAAAATCAGGAATAAGGGATCTTTCGGAAAAGGCTTTGTTTTCTGAAAGATCCCCGTCTAGACTGGCGCTTTTTGCCGGCAAAGCCCTGAGCTGGAAAAAAGCGGCAGCCATGTTTATGCAAATGAAGCGGGGAAGATTTAAATCCTCACTTCATTTGCAATTGCGCTGTCTAATTTACATCCCTTTTACGGAAAAGGGGTGCAATCTAGACACAACCGGAGTGTTTAAAGCAAGGGTGGGCAAAAGGGCTGGATCCAGCCTGTGGAGGCCCTGCTGCTCCTCCTCCCCCAGGTCCTAATTGGCCTGGGGGGTGAGGGAGCATGTGCATCCTCCTCCTGCCCTGCCAGGAGCACGTGGCACTTTGAAGCTTTGCACGCTTGCCTGCCCCCAAGCCAATCAGAGCTTGCGGGTGGGGGAGCTACCTGAAGCTTCCTTCACCCTGCTCTGGCACTGCAAGGAGCCTGTCTGCTCCTCACAGGGCTGGTGGAGGCTTCCCACGCTCCCCATCCTCAGGCCCTGATCAGCCTAGTGGTGGGGGAGCGTGTCAAGCCTCTTCCAGGGCATGGGTGCCTAGTGGGAAGGGGGGGCAGAGGGGCACCCCTATCACCAGACCAGTCATGGTTGGGAGTTGGGGTAGTCCTGCCCTTTCCCATATAGGCCCTGCCCCTTCCAGGGTGGCCCAGGGCTACTTCAAAAAATTTTGAAGTGTCCCCAGGGGAAAATTATTGAGCACCCCTGGTTGAATGCTTCTCAAATTATTCCTCTTCTGTGTGGTGCTCTGGGGCTCTTGTTCCCCAGTTCAGGGCCTCAATGCGTGCAGGGATGTGAATTTAAGTTCAAGTTGAAGAGAGCAGGGCAGGGGGGGCCCAGCCTGAGCAGGAACCGGAATTTCCCCGTGTACATTTCCAAAGAGCCACAGTAATAAATCAGCACCCTTCAGCCGTTCCTGCTCTTCCCCACCCTCAGCACCTCCTGCAGCAGCCAACCCCGCCCACGCCTGCCTAGAGCAGGTGTGTCACAGGTGCAGGAGGCTGTGGGGGGAGCGGGGAGGGCGCAAGCTCCCCCCAAAACACACATTGGAAAGCCGGCGCCTGCGCAAGGAGCCGCCGCCTGTTAACAGCTCCGAGCGCCGGTCGGATCGGCCACGCCTACCGCAGGGCAAACACCTTAAGGGCAGCTACGCCCGGCAACTACTTACCCGCCCAGGCTGCGTCTCGGCGAAGGCTCCGATT